GGCTGAACAAGACAAGATGGAGCCAAGCCCAAATGCTAACAACTTGGGTCGGACTGGTTGGGTTCTGGTTTAGATCCAAACCCGACTCGGTTCACTTACAAAAATAGGAAACCCTAGAGCCTTGCACAACCATTTCATGTATGCAAGGAGGGGAAAAGAAGAAGAAGAAGAAGAAAAAGGCGATACACGATCCATCACTATCGTGTTTAGAAGAAAATGAAAAAAATAGAACACAATCTAAAATTCAAATGGTAAGTCACCCTTCTTTTATTAGATTCGTCTCACCCTTTCTCAACTACTCTCTCACGCGTCTTTCATTACTCTATCTCGTTCTTGCGACGACTTTATCTCCTTCCCGTGGCAGTTTCGTGGAGCAGATTCGTGTAGATTGTGTGGTTGAAGGTGAAATAAAGATTAAGGTTGTAATGGTTGATTTGGTGATAAAGTGGTTCACACAGGTTGTTTGGTGGTTAATGGGAGTTTTTGGTGGAAGAAGAAAGAAGTATAGAGAGGTTTTATCAAGAAGAAAGATGAGGAAAAAATGGATTCCTTCAACAAAATCTGAGACCAACAGTGAGGTGCACCGTTCAAATTTTTTTGATTATTATTGAGGCCATTTGAAGAAGGATTGATATGAGGTTTATATTTTATAGAATTTCCTTCTCCCTCTTTTTTTTTGTTGCCCCTCCTCCTTTAAATCAATTTCCAAAATTTGATTCTCAATTTCTCAATTTGTCTGTTGTATTGTTGTTGGTTGTCATTGCTGTGTATGTTTCATGGCAGGATGTCACAACTGTTGTTTGTTGGTCGTTTGTAGGTCTTGTATAATTTTCACCATTTTTTGGCTTATAGTGTTTGGAGGTTTTAGAGTATTGTATGTTGCATTAGCAAGTGGCATGGCGCAGGATATAGGCTATGTAGTTTTGGGTATTGAAGTAGGGTGTCTACAGGTTTTCATTTTGTTGTTTTGCTTTTGTGTTGGTCGCTTGGTTGTAGGATGGGTGGGTAGGACGTACAATTTGGAGTGTGTAGTGGTGGCTTGAAGTGTAGGTTCGTGCGGTTTGTAAGAGTGGTTTGGTCTTGGTGCAAGAAGAACTTTTGGAGCCTAGTGGCAGGTCAAATATATACGTGTGTTATGATGCAAACATTACAAAATTTGTACCTTTTCATCTTTTTTTTAATTTGAATTTTGTGATATGGATGTAATTTTGGGTAATGAGTGTTATGGCTTAAGATTGGCAATGGGCCTTTGTAAATGGACACTTAATGCAATTGGATTTTTGACTTGAATTGGTTTCTTGTATTTTTGTGTAATGGATCTCTTTTTTTTTATAATAAAAATGAACATTGAATGATAATTGAAAGGAGGTGGATTTGAAATGGTATGGATTATGAGAAATGGATCAATAAAATATGGATACTCGGTTTTAAAAAAAGTGAAAATGGGTATAACGACGGAAATGGATAATTGAATGAATTTAATGGATATTGAAAATGAAAATGGTTTGAAATAGATTTTGTAATACGCCACAACACGTAACCTTGACAATTGCACTTGACATGCCACAATTCCTGAATTAAACCAAGGAGAATCCACCTTGAATCAATCCATCTTGAAATGATCTGAACTTTAATGAATCACCAGATGATTTGACGTAGAAACCCTAATTTGATGATTTTCATGTACAAAGCATCGTTCTATGCCCAAAATCAACTTGAGAGCAAAGCAATTTCCTTTTTCTTAACCAAGGTCGAATTACAACAATTGAAAATGAGCCATACTGCACACCCATACTTAACCTGCTAGCCTCAGGTGAAACTCAGCTGAATGACACTTTTCGATCATATACAAAGGGTGAAAACCCCTAATCTTTCTGCCTTGAGTGCACACCGATGAAACAATGACTTGATGAAAACCAGAACCCTAATTCAGAATCTTTGTAGTGAAGCCACTGATGAAACCCAAAACCTCTGGTACCCTTGAAGAAACTCAAAGTATCTGATGTCGTTCTTTGATAAACCTCTGATAGGAACTGCTCATGACGATTAAAAACCCAACACCTCGGCCTCAAACTTTAGTACAAATAACCAAAAGAAACAACCTCTAAACAACGGAAATCCAACTCAAAAGCAAACCTCCAATCCCACGTCTTAAGAGCTTAAATGGTGGATGACCTATCCAAACCCCTAATTTACCAATCCTTGAAGTCTCTTGAAGCAAACCCTAATTCATAAGTGAAACAAAACAAACAAAGTCTGAAAACTTGGTTAATTATGCAATATGATTGACCTAGAATGATGTACAAAAAATTAAAGAATCCGAGGGTAAAATTTGGGGTATGACACACTACAACAGACGCATTATGTAAACTTGCCATAACTGACGTTGGCATGCCATAAGGTTGTTCCTGCCCTACTGGAGGCATCGAAAATCCAGGCATATAAGGCCTGGATACATTACTTCCCACCAGACGGGGGTCATTGGTGGACCCTGCGTTCCCACATGAGATAATATGGGTCCACTTGGCGCAACCGACTCCATAGGTGTCGTAGACGTAATGGATTGCACTGGTTCCGAAATTGACGTTAGAACCGTAGTTCCCCCTATCGAAGATGAAGGGGGTGGTTTTTCATTATTTGATGAATTTTGGTTATTTGGTGGGTTTGGATTCACCATCCTTCTTACGTATCTTCTCCTTGGTTTCTCTTCATTTTTTGTGGCTATTTTACCACTCCTGAGTCTCATGCAACAAAGTCTAGAGAGATAGTAAAAATGAAGAACTTATAAAAAGAAATTTTCAAAAGGGAGAAATATATATCCAAACAATAGCACTGTCCCACTGGGCGTGCCAATTTGTTTACCGTGAAAATTGGTAAACAACCGCTGGTCTTCAAAAAAAAAAATTGGTTTACTTGCAGGATCAACCAGTGAATACTAATGGCATAACTATTGTTTCAATAACTTTTTGGAAAATTGAAGAACACTTCGACAATATTCATGTTGTAAAGGTTTGTAAGAAAGTTTTAGAAAGATGATAAATTTTGTATAAATTGGTAAAAGAAATGCAATGAAGAAAATTTCAAAGTAAAAGTGCAGTAAAGAGATAAATGATAAATGGAAAGTAAATTTCTATTGAAATAAATGTGGTGTTTCAAACGTGCATTTCTCAATGAAAACTCTTTTCTCACTTGACTTAGATACTTTGAGTGATTTTTTTGAGTATTTGTACAATAATGAACACACATAAATCCTAACACTAAGACTCCCATTTATAACAAGTCGAAATAACTGTCTTCAACGGACATTTCTCCAAAATTTGACACGTTTCGCTCTGCATGCCTTCACTTCGCCACAACTCTCCACGCGTCTTTCCTGAGAAACGAATAAGAACAAAATACATTTATTTATCCGTATTTTGAATTTCAAAACTTCTGTCGAAGGAAGGCTTCAAACATCCTTCGTCGAAGTTGCTTTCCATACTTGGAAAATATTTCTAAGTGTTGTCCAGACATGTCTCCTTCCTGGAAACTACTTCGACCAAACTTCTCACACAAGTTCCTGTCAAAGTCAGCAAAATTCAAGAAACTTGATTTTCACCTTGTGTCTTTAAACAAAAGCATGACGTCGAAATTTCCAGCCAACAGTTAGGTACATACTCTAGCAGTTACCTATAAGCTTCTTTAACAGAGAAAAAACTAGAACTTTCTCATTCCCTTATATCAATACTACGAACGTCGTTCCACCACTTATAGGCTTTATTCCTCTCCATGCCACTAAGATAATCTAGTCTACCATATCTGTTTGTCAAGGTCTTGAACCACAACCCATTCCTTTCCGATTTAATTCGCCACTTTCACTTACCTAATAGAGCCTTGTTGAATATTTTAAAATTTCTTACTCATAACCCCCTCATTAATAGGCCTACACACCTTCTCCCATTGGATCTAGTTTATGCTCCTCTCTTTCTCGCTCCCGCTGCATAAAAATTGTTTGAAAATAGACTCGAGTTTTGAAATAGTACTTGTCGACGTCTTGAAGAAAGAGATAAAGTAAATCAGAAGTGCAGTAAGGACTGATTTTAGGATCACCACTCTACCACCAAATGAAAGGAATTGATTCCTCCATTTAGTAAGTCTTGATTTAACCATTTCTACCACCGAATACCATATGTCTAATCTCTTAGGGTTGCATCCGATAGATATACTAAGGTATTTATATGGGGGTAGATTTCACTTGGCAGTTCATAATCTTTGATGCTTCTTCACACCACCTATGGTGAATATTTATTCCACTAGCTTGCTTTTATTAAAATTCACCATGAGTCGGACGTTACTTCAAATAACTTCAGATTTCCCTTGATTATTCAAATTTCAACCAATTTTTTCCTCCTAATATCAAATATCGTTGGCGTATTAGAGATGAGTGAATCGATCTTCTCCTCTATCAAATTTGTAACCACTGTATAAAACCAGTCCACCGCACTTTTAATAAGCATATTAAAACTTTCGGCAATCAAAAAAAAAAAGAAAAGAAACGGTAAAATAAGGTCTCCTTATCTTTAATGTTAATTGTATAAATGTGACATTCTTCCCATTGAGATTCCTTTCATGAATCTATACGCGGTGTTCTAAGACTGTGTAGCCCACGCGACACATCACTAATGGATAACAAAATTATTATTTTAATCTGTTAAAAAAGATTTAGAGAAAAACGCGTTAGCGAGATACATGGAAGCATTGCATCGGGCACACTAAATGGACTGAGAATCTAATGCCTAATCCGTCTCCGTCCGTCCACTAATTACCATATCAAATTGAAAACTAAAATATGCATTGACCCGGAAAAAGCGAAAAACAAAAAAAACAAATTAAAATCAAATCAAAACTCCAATTATTTAAATTGGATTCAATTCATTGCCACCACAAAACCTCATTCCGTTTTATTCATAACAATTCTCTCTCAAACCCTTTTTCTACCCATCGTCAACCACGCAACAGAGATGGAAAACCAAAACCAGAACACGGCGGCGAGAAAACCCAGATTCATGTGCCTTCATGGCTTTCGAACAAGTGGAGACATAATGAAGAAACAGATACATAAGTGGCCACAGAATGTTCTAGACAAACTCGATCTTGTTTTCGTCGATGCTCCTTTTCCCTGCACAGGAAAATCCGATGTCGAAGGAATTTTCGATCCTCCTTATTACGAGTGGTTCCAGTTCAACAAGGTTATTTACCTATTTATTTATATATACGCCTAATTATGTTTCAGCTATTGTTGCTGTTAATTAACCTGTTTTTGATATATGGTGACAATAACAATAACAGGAATTTACAGAGTACACCAACTTTGATGAGTGTTTACAATTCATTGAGGATTACATGATCAAACATGGACCGTTTGATGGTCTTCTTGGATTCTCACAGGTTAGTTTTCAATTTTTTAATGGAAAACCAATATTTGTCAAATTAAGTGTCTTAAAACTCATGTTGAAAAAATACATGTAAGTTTTTGATAGCTTCTGTGTTCATAACTAGAGATACAATTGCAATTTTGAATGATTATTGTGGTTGTGTTTGATTTATGATAATTGATATAAGGTTCTGAATCTGTGTTTGAAATTTTACAAATTAGGGGGCGATACTATCAGGTGCACTGCCGGGTCTTCAGGAGAAGGTATGTATTAGAAAACTATAAATTTTTTTTGACTTTCAATTCCTATTTCCACGTTCCACTATTCACGCCTTATATTTTACTCACTCTAGTTCTATTTATTAAAAAAAAATTATTTTGTAAATTTATTAAATAATCAATAATATATGTGTATTTTGTATATGGATTAAATATAATACAAATACATTAAGAAATGTTTTAAAAAAAATAAAATTTTATAAATTTAAAAAATAAATTTTTTATAAAATTTAGGACCAAAGTAATTGAAAAGTGTTTTCTGATAAATTATATTTTTATTTTTATTATTGGTTTGATATATGGTTTTAAAATTCTGAACAACTATTAAAAATCGGATTATTTGATAAAAACTCAAATTGTTAAACTATTTTTCTAATTTTAAAAAATAATTTAAGACTTATTTTTAATATTTTTAATTTTTAATTTTGATTTGATTTCAGGTTTCAATTCGATTTTCATATTGTATGATTCAAATTTAGAATAGATTGTACAATATGATTCAAATCACTAATCAAATATAATCTAGCAATTTAATTATTTTAATTTTGATAGAATATTACTTTAGTTTATTGGTTTTTTTAACACCGGTGCATGAATACTCAATTGCGGGGATAAAGTTAGAAAATGGAAATTTTTATTCAAATAATCTACTTTTTTTTTAATTAATATTTAAACTAATTTATTTTTGTAAATATTTTTCAAACTAATTTATTTTAAATAAAAAAATTAAAAAGAGGTGTCGCCAATTCAATTACTAACAGTATACAAATTTATAAGAAGTGTGGCCAACTCAATTGATAATGTGTACAAATACGGAGAAGAGAAAATATACTTTTTTTTATACACGGTTGCCAATTAGATTAACTATACTTATTTGTTAATTTTTTATTTTGAAAATGGGTTAATTTAGAAAATATGTAAAAAAAAGTGGGTAGGTCAAGTATTAATTTGAAAAAGTTGGTTATTTGAAGAAAAATTTGTTGAAAATGCTTCATCCCACTTATTTATGTTTTTGAAGAATTGAAATTCTAATCTTCATTCTATTAGAAAAAAGTTATTGTAATTCTTATGCAAGCATGAACTTTTATTTTTATAGGGTGTGGCATTGACGAAGGTTCCGAAAGTGAAATTCCTTATGATAATAGGAGGGGCTAAGTTTTTGGCACCTTCGGTGGCAGAGAAAGCATATTCTTCACCAATTGGTTGCACCTCTCTTCATTTTATAGGTACATCTCTCTCTCTCTCCTTTCACTTTAGAATGCATTTAGAGATAAGTATATTTTTAAGTTCTTTATCCTATAAAGTTTAGTCTCTGCAAATATTTGTTAGAAATTTGATTTTTTTTAGTTTGAGATTACTTGTTAAGCTCTATTAACTCTGTCAAAGTAACAAAATTGATATATTTAATGCATCACTCTAATCGATATAATATGTCATATATTAATTATTTAATAAATTTAAAAATAATTTTATTTTATATTAAAGAAAAAAGAGTATTAAATATGAGTTTTTGTTACGAGGTCAAATTAAATATGAGATGATAATAGATTATACTATTTAATTAGAATAAACTTACCTTATACTCCTCGTTAAAAATTTCTACTTAATGCAGGAGAGAATGATTTTTTAAAGCAGCATGGAAAAGAACTCATAGAATCATGTGTTGAACCTGTAGTAATTCATCATCCAAAAGGACACACAGTACCAAGATTGGGTAAGCTATTTTATTTATCTTGCTATATTATCTTGTAATGAGTGATTTTCTAAAAGATTTTTAGTATATATAATTTAATAATCTCTCCCAAAAATAGTGGTGTAATTAATAATTATCTCCTTTATTTTTCAGATGATAAAAGCTTGAATATCATGATAGACTTCATCGAAAGAATTCAAAAGGATATATCTAAAATCAAGGAATGAGCTGACAATGAGCTAGTATCTCAAATTAGTTTTTGAAATGATTTTTTATTTTAGAAGTAGATTTTAGTTTTGATACATCTTGTAATGCTCATACTTTATCTTTGATACTATCTATTATACAAAGAGCTTTATTTCAATTATATTTATGATTATCATATCTTTCTATATATTAGACCCTAGGGTCAATCCATGTTGGTATCATGGATTTTGAATACAATTGAGTCTAACCCATGCTTGAAGATATCATGTCCTGAAAACACAAACGATTTTTGGGAAGAGATTATGGCCATGTTTTCAATTGTGAACAGACCTAGAATTCAATAATTGAAATTTTATTTGGAAGAAATCAAGCAATGAGGATTGATAATGGTGGCTTATTATGGAAAGATGGAAGCTCTATGGAATGAACTCGCCAAGTGTGAAAATGTGTTGATATGTAAATGTATGCAAATGTAATATTGCGACCAGCTTGGAGAGAGAAGAAGAAAAGGCTCACTAATTTCTAGTGAGATTAGATGGTGTGGCTTATGAGACAATTCATTTTAATTTGCTCGTTATTGATCTTTTAACATATATGAAAAAGATATATTCCACGTTAGTGTAAAAAGTTAGGGATACGCAAATAAACCGATTATTTAAATAATCTATATCCATATTCAAATTCAATTATTAAAAACCGGTTAATTATTAATATGATTTTAACCAAATCTACATTTTGAATATATTTTTAATATGGTTTTAACCAAATCTATAATTTGGACATCCATATCCAAAATAAAAATCAAATTAGTCAATTTTTTTTTTAAAAAAAAAATAGTTTTAATTTTTTTCAATAAATAAAATTTTCAGTGAAAAACTTGTATTCCAGCTGAAACTCATTGCAGTCAACTCCAATGTCCAGCTTTAGTAAGTTTCATGTCTCCTTCCTACTATAGGTTGGAGGCATGTAACACAATCTTGATCTTTTGTCATCATTGAGTCAAGATTAATTATTATGAGAAGCAAAATTAATTTGACAGGTATGATAACACAATTTTGAACTCATGAAGAGCCTTTGCTTCACCAGCTATGAACTGATTGTTGAACCCTCCGTCACATAGTATATATCCTTGCATAAGAAGGCATAAAATTGCAATAAATTTAGTTATAAGTTGAAGGAATTTGGTATTCACCATCATATTTGGATTTAAAGGTTCTTAATTCTAAATTTTTTTCTAAATTTCTCGAATGAACACACCACTCCCGGTGCCTACATAATTATGTTTGTCATTGTCATAATTAACATATGATTTAAAAGTCAAAGGTTAAGAATATAAATGTGAAAACCTTTTTAAAAAGAAAAAGTGAAAGACTTCTCATTAATAAAATTTGTTTAACCTCATATTCAGTATTAGGGGTTGATGCTATCAGTCAAAAACTTCTAATCAAATTTAAATTTCATATTAATTATAATTTAGTAAAACATTGAATCTATAAGAAAATAGATTCATTTATATGATATCTTAAATTTTAGTTAAAGATGTAGTGTCTTTAGCTATTATGATTCAGAATAAATTTCAATAAATATATGATTTTCATTTTAGGTATAATTAATTCCTATTTCCTTAAGTTAATTTTAAAATAAGGGTAATGTTAACTTGTGCCCTTGGGGCACATGTTAAGGACTAAATTAAGAAATATCATCTTGGAAATTGTGTACAAACTTAAATTAAAGTATAAAATTAATTTTTAAATTGTTTTTTCCAATACAAATTTACTAAAAGTGGTTTCCTTAACATGTGCCCCAAGGGCACAAGTTAACATTACCCTTAAAATAAAATTAAATCAAAACTAATTATAAAATTGGTTATGGATATAACCGGTTCATAACCATTTTAAAAGATAAAAACCGGTTATTAGAATTGGTTTTAATAACCGGTTAGAACATATGGATTATTTATGGTTATGGATTGGTTATGGACATTAACCATCCATGAGCACCCCTATAAGAAGTGATAAAATTGGAAACTATTTAGTTTCAACTAACTTTTGACTTCTGAATTAGTTAGTTAAAAAGACTACAACTGTTTACATTTATAGTAATAAACAGTTGACCTATTATAGTAGGTTTTGGTACACTAAAGCTAACAAGTATCAGTTTTGAGATTAGGCATTTTACTATTTTAGGCTAATTTACACTTTCCTTTAATACCTCATCCCCACAAACTCATGGGGGAGTTAGTAACCATGAGTTTGTGTCTTAGAGTAAGAAATCCAATAGAAGCTAGGGGTTTATGTAAGTGCATATGTCCATTGGTCAGTGCCAAGTATGTTTATGACAGTAGTTGCTTGGCCAAGACCTTCAATCTGACAAATGAGTCTATCTCCATGTACTTTGTCCTTGAGTGCATAATACGATTGTGAAATAAGAGAACATCATATTGATTGTGACATAGAACCATATGGACTAGTTAAAACATGTAACTCTTTAAGAAGAGTTTGAACCCAGAGGAGGTTAGCAGTTGCTTGAGCCAAACGCTTTACTCTGCCTCAGTATTGAACGTGGCTACCACAAGTTACTTTGGGGCTACTAAGATATGAGATTTGAGCCAAAGTAAATAGTAAAGTCAGGTGTGCTTCTTTAATCGTCTAGGTGTGAAGCCCATTCTGCATCACAGAAAACTTGAATGGAAGAAGGAAAGTTAGTTAGAAGATGAGAGAGATGGAGACCATGCCCGATAGTGCCTTTGAGGTACATCAGAGTTCTTATGACTGTAACTCTGAGTGACTCAAAGAATGATATGTCAAGTTGGGTTATGGTGTGTGAACAGGGGTAGCCTCAAGCATGTTAGTTTTATGTAACAAGTCCCTGATGTATTTAGATTATGTCAGAAGTAAGGTGTTGCGTGTAACACCATTTTCTACCCCACAAATATTATGGAAAAATAATCGAATTTATCAGAGTAAAATATTGGACGCAATAAAATCATCATAAAAGAGCGCACATTTCTCAATGAATTCATATATAGGTCAATGCTCCATAAGCAACAGGTTTTCTCAAAATTACTCAAAAGTGCTCAAATGGCAACAGAACTCAAGAAGGCAAATCCAAAGTTTTCCTTGTACCGCAAGGAAACCAACATAACAAAAACTCAATAAAATATAGATTGACTCAAAGACCCCAACCCAATATTACACTATCAGAACAAGACCCTCTAAGTCAACCACAATGGCCAACGACTCAACAACTTCAAAAAGGTCATCGACGACATCCACGACTAAACTTGGTCATCTGCACGTTACCCACGTAGAGGCAACATTCAAATAGGCAGGGTGAGTAAAATGATTCATAATAATCAGTATAAGAATCAATATATAAAATGACGTCATTTACATATTCAACATCATCATAATCATCAAGGAACATCAAAGGTCACAACATCATAAATTACACCAAAATGTCACATAAATGCAAATGAAACAAAACTCATGCATGTGGTACCAATCAACAAAATTCGATGGACACTGGGCCATCAACCCTCCTTAGATCCACAACAGTAGGATCGATTCTACTCGAGAACCGGAGCACAACAAAATATCTTACATCCGCACAATGGGATTGAAGCCACAAAAATCAAGGTCCTGAACCGAAGTTCGGATGCATATGAATGCATGATGCACACGTAAATATCATCCTCATAATAAACTTATTAGGTGCATCATCATTCATCAAAATCATCATAATAATCATGTCATTATAAATTCATCAAAACTCATGAAATCAACATCATAACTCATCATTATTACTCATAGGAATTCATCATACAATCATGTAATTATCACATAAAAATCACAATTATACTCATGGTAATTCATCAAGAAAATCACAGCATCAAAGCATCAAAATAGCACTGCACAAGCATATACACAAGTATTCGATGAATTATCCACTAATAATTTCACAACCGGCAGCAAACAGTGCAACAATTCATTAATATAACATATACTCAATTGACTTCCCAAAAATATTAGATATAAAAATATTAGGCAACCAATTCTCTTATCTATACTATGTTATAGCCATGTTCATTAGCTTTACAACACTTCGAGCGGGGACCAAAACAGACTTACGGATCAAAAGTTACGTTCAAAATGATTTCGACCGAAAACATGAATAGTCGTGACAGACAGCATGCATAATTTTATGCGTTTTTCACCGTTTGAGGCCTTCCGGACCTCCGATTTCGATTACATAAAAACCCAAACTCTCAAAAAATTACAACTCATCCAATACTGTAACTATCTCAAGTAAATTTACAATTTTAATACAATTAAACCATTCAATCATCGTTTAAAGATGGCAAAATATCCTTTTTGGTCCCTTAACTATACCTCGGTGTTCATTTTGGTCCCTTAACTTTAAAAAGTTCCATATTGGTCCCTTAACTCTTCAAATGTTCCATATTATTCCTTTTTGACCTATTAGCGACGGATTTAGCGACGATTTTTTGATTTTTTTCCGTCGCTAATAGGTAAAAAAGGACTAATATGGAACGTTTGAAGAGTTAAGGAACCAATATGGAACTTTTTAAAGTTAAGGGACCAAAATGAACCCTGAGGTATAGTTAAGGGACCAAAAAAGATATTTTACCTTTAAAGATTATGCTTAAAACCTTTAAAATTAATGGATATAGGTTCAATCCCGTATCATATTTATGCCTTCAATTCCCATAATTTTCTTACAACTATCCCACAGTCATTAGAGTTCTCACTATTCAATTATCCTACAGAGTTGAAACCTCAATGACAGATTTTGACCATGAAGGCCTACTTTCCCTCAAACCCAAATCGACCTCAAACCTCTCAGACCATCAATTCAAATTTCTATACAGTTAAAACCTCAAAAATAGATTTTTTCCATGAAGGCCTAATTTCCTTTATCTCAAATCAGCCTCAAATCCTTTAAACCCTTAAATCCACTTTAAATACATTGAATCATATATTGAAAATAATGAAGGTAA